TGGGAGGCATCACAYACAAAGGTAATGGCTTGTTTGCCCGCACACAAGCCTGCAGGAGGGGAGCTGTTCTTCAGTGTCTTTCCCTCATCCACTCTTGCCATCCTAGACAATTAATTTCTCATTTCACTGCACCAAGGGCAGGGATGGGTGCCAKCAGGTTATGGGATAACTTACACATGGTGAAATAAATTGAACCTKTGTGGGCTAGAAGAAAGGAAGCCTGTAATTACTTTGTCACTAGCTCAGCATTGTGTAATTGCTTGTCATCCTCATGGCKCTGAGTGTGGGATTAGGAAGTTATTGGATGAAGTGCAAATTAGGATTTGGGAGACCTTGCATGCAGCCTTTTCCCTCTCTGCAGGAGTCTGTTAATTTTAGCCACTTTCTCTGGGCTCTGTCTTTTCTAGGAAGAGCTCTGCTACTCCCTCCTGGCTCTGTATGAGTTTGTACAGAATGGGACAAGCATGTCACCACCTGCTCATCACACAGGAGGGAAAATCTACAAAGTGTGTCCACATCAGGTAAGGAAGGATGAAACTACAATTTTTTTTCCTTCCTTGGCTATGCACTATTTGACTAACCAGCATGGAACTTCCTTATTGGATAGAAGCAATGGAATGGTCTTCTCTGAGCCTTGGGAATGAAACATGTTCCTCGTGGCTTGGAGAATGAGCAGTCCTTCAGGAGATCTCATGATCTGAAACCTGATTTTAATGTTGCTACTGAGGCAGAGTTTAAAACTGTCTCTTCCTGWACAAGATCAAGTGAATGTGTATGAGGAGGAAGCAGAGTATCTTTAGAGAAAGTAGCTGTCTGGTTACTCTAAAATCTGGAATGCTGGAAAGGAAGCTTAATTTTTTTAAGGCTAGATTTTTTTGCTGTAAATTTTCAGTTTTATTGTGCTGCTGATGTTAATCCTTTTTTTTTTTCCCCAGGTTGTGTGTGGGTCCAAGTACATAGTAAGAGGAGAAAATGCCCGGGATCAYGTGGATTTGTTGGTATCTTCACGTCACTGGCCTCCAGTGTATGTTGTTGATACAGCCTCTTCAGTGGCACTRTGTGCAGACCTCTGCTGGCCTGGCCTGACCTCCCAGATGTGGGGGAAGAACCAGGGCTGCTTCTCTGACCCCATGGAACCTCCAACGGTTAGTTATKTCYTTRTTCTCTGCTGTGCCAGTCCAGTRTGGAAAAGTTTCRAGGGAGATTTAAAATTAACTGCCCYCTGCCATATGTAACCTGCATTGTGCCTCAAGAYAATTTSATAGAATTACAGARTGATTTGGGTTGKAAGGGCCCTTAAAGCTCATMCAGTTCACTCCCGTGCCATGGGCATGGTCACWTYSCACCAGCCCAGGCTGCTCAGATCCTGTCCAACCTGGCCTTGAACACTGMCAGAGGTGAATTTGACCTGACAAGTGTCTCCTGATTTAAACTTTGGCAGTGTATCACTTCTAAGCATAGCAGAATGTATTATGTAYTGCCTGAGGCATTGTGTTTGATTAATTTTCCTTAATAGGAAGAGCTGTGCTGGGAATGCACTGTAACAGTTCAGATCACGAACTTTGGAGCACGTCACTTATTTTGACACAGCARCTCACTTTCCAAACTGCTGCTATTCCTTGAGAAGTGGGAGAAAAGRTGGTTCCTAGTGCCTTGGGATTATCTGAGGGCATACAAGTGAGGAGGGAGTGTACAGGCCACCGTTGTGGCTTTACAGGGAAGCCTGGATCGTTTAACCCTCCCTCTGCCCTGGCTTGTAGTGTTGGTTGGAGTTTGGCCAGCCAGTAGTTTTGTCTTCTCAGCTGTGGGGAGGTTACTTGTTCTACCTGGTGGGTGTGTGTGTGTTTSTCCCCCAGTAYGTGTCCTGTCCTGAACTGTTGGACCAGCACTACAGCGTAGACATGACGGTGGCTGAGCACTCCCTGCAGCACCCAATCACCAAGTCATCCACTCGCCGAGTTGTCCACACGGGCTCAGAGCAGAGCAGTCCCTGGGACCCCACGGCTCGGCACCACAGCATCTCCCTGTGCCGGGAGCTGGAGCCCTACRGCGCCATCATCGCCGCCATCAACGACAGCAAAACCAGCAACGTCCGCCAAAGGCCCATCACCTTCGAGAACCCCACGCACTATTACCTCTACAACCGCCTCATGGACTTCCTCAGCAGCAGGGAAATCGTCAACAGGCAGATCCAGGAGATCGTGCAGAGCTGTCAGCCGGGGGAGGTGGTGATCCGTGACGCGCTCTACCGGCTCGGGGTGGCCCAGATCAAAACAGAAACAGAAGAGGATGAAGAGGAGAAGCAGSAGGAGGATAGAGGTTGCTGAGTAACAAAATAGCTTGTTGGTTGCTCTGGTTGTGTGGATGGGTAGGCTGAGCCAGCTTTTGCATCTGTCTGGCTTGAGAGTTTATTTTTACAGGTTGGAGATGTGATGCTGATGGCTTTGACTGCTGTTACTGACCAAAGAGCTCTGTGCTTCCATAGCATCGTGATAGCTGCTGCGAGCATGGGTCTGTCATACCCTTGCAGAAGGCTGCAACTGCCTCCCAAGGCATGTGATGGACCTGCTCCTATTCAGGGCTGTGGGATGTTGCCCTCCCTGCAGCTGGAGAAGGGAGAGGTGTTGCTGGTAGCAGGGAGTATGCGTGGTCAAGCCCATACAGGTTTTTTAATTCTGAATCTTGCTTGCTGACTTCTTTGTGCTTATTGGTGGCAGGGCTGGGGGTGTGGGACCAGGCTTGAAAGTTAGATGGCTGCAAAGATTTCCCCCAAAACATTCTGAATAAGTGAATTTAGGATAGTGACTCCTGCCTTGGTARTCTTGCAGAGCTCTCATAGGCATTGGCTGCAAGGAGTCTGGAGAAGGAGGAGCTGTGCTGCTTCAACCTGCTGAATCTGGGGAGTCTCCCTGGAGGCTGCACTCCTGGGTTCAGGATTGAGATTGCTTTGGCTGAGGAAGTTTCTAGAGTTGTTTGTYCCTTCACATGAGCACTAATAATTTAGAAGCCAAAAGGTACAGTGAGTGCAATGTGTTGTCTGTGGTAAGGAAAGAACTGAGCCCCAGAGCAGCCAAGGGGTTGGAGGACAGTTTGCTGTGCAAGGGGGTGGCTGTGGGGAGGGGAAGGACACTCAAACACTCTGTGGGATCAAGGAGGAACAATGAATGCAGTGTCATCAGAGCGAGCAGGGTTCCATATTCCACCCTCATGGTTAAACTGGGAGAGCTGCACTCACACGTGCAATGTCACCACTCTGTCAGGTGTCACAGAGTGACATGCCCTGCCCATGTTGTCACAGTGCTCTGGGGGTTGGAGGAGTCTCCTGCTGCCCAGGTTGTTTTGTCAGCCCCTTGAGAGGAGTTGGGATGAGACCTCTGCCTCTGCAGCATAACCTGAAGAATTCCTGGGGCTGCAGGTGCAAAGCTGTGCTGTCATTGCTGCAGCTCCCTTCGGTCATCACTGGTGGTGAAGGTGGGTGGATGTTTGCTGTGACCCCCAGAGGAGAGAAGCAGAATGCCAGACTGCTAAATTGCCATCTTGGAGTTTATTTTGTCTGAGTGAGCAATGGGGAAGATTCTGAGGCTTGCGGTGTGGTTRAAAACTCCCTTCTGTGAAGGGGAACCTATTGAGTACCGTACTGTTAAAGTAAATGTATTRAGTCTGAGCAAATGCAGTAATCATGGCTTGGGGTTTTTCTGTTAAGAACATTAACTTATTATAAGAGACATTAGTGACTTTTTTCAGTCAGTGATAAAGTTTAATAAATTATCTCCAATTTTTGGGGTGAAACTGTGGTCAACTGACTTGGGTTTGGTTTTTTTTGTGTACAAGACCTGGATGGCTGCAGTGGGAAAGGGCACAAATACTGCTGAATTTCTTCTGCATTTACCTTGGCATTGCACTTTCTCCAGAGACTGCTCCATGTGCCACATGGTGGCTTGTCAGATGTCACATCATCACAACTGAAATTACACACCATTATATCCATGCACAGGATCTACTTCAGAGCTTTAAAATCTTGTTTTTAATAAGTTTTTGCATTACAAGAATGTGAGTGGTTTTGAGAACTGGTACTGAGGAACAGAGTTGTGGGGTGAGTAGGTAGGCCAGTGCATCACCCCAGCTCTGAGCTGTTTCCCTCTGAGAACAGTCCTTAGAGCCCTGGAAGAGACTCGTTTTGTTAAACATTTTATTTTTTATAATGCTGACAGAGTTACATTAGTTTTCATTTAGTAAGGAGGAATGAATCACTTGGTGTTAGCATAAAACCAGGTTTAAAAGAATCAGAAGTGGCCCATGATGGAACTGCTCAGAGTGTGAYAAAGGCCACCTGCAATGCAGTTGTAGTTTGCCTGAGCCCTGTCAGTTGTAGTTTGCCTGTACCTGGAAYAGAGATCCTTTACCCACCTAGTCAGGTGAAGCTAAGAAGGTTCTTTAGCTACTTCTGGTAGGTACACAGGACTGAGTGGCTGGGRCAGTAGTAATYCTGAGCAAGAGCTAACTGAAAAATWAGTTGAAGGGCATTAGCTTATGAAAAAAAAATCACCTCAGTTGTACTATTAAAAGTACATTTAGGAGATTTGGTACAAGTCTGTAATAGTGACAAAGGCAGTGATTGCTACATGTTCAGTAACTCAGAAGTTCTGTAGGATATGTGTAATGGTGATCATTTCCAGACCTTGTTAAGCTGCCATTCTTTCCTGCATTGGGGTTGTGTTCAGTGCTCTCACGGAAGAGAACTGTTTTTTGCTGTATTTTACCTGAGAAAGAACTGTCCCTCTGTCCCATTACTGGGGCACAAGTTCACATAACCCTGAGGTTGGCTCTGTGGCTCCCTTCACCCAAATACTCCCTGCAGAGGCATCAACTGCAGAGAGGTGGATTGCAYGAGGAAGTGGAGGGGTTAATGAGTATTTAATGCTGTGTAGAAGCTTTACCTATATCTAAACATACTGCAATGTCCAGGGTCAGACTGACAAAGGGAAGAAAGCAGGAGAGTGTGGAGAAGTTCCAGTGCCAGGACTTATTTCAAGATGTGCTYATAAAACACAAAGTTTCACTGATGAGTGACACTTGGAAATGTCTTACTTGGCTGTGACCACTATTTTTAAAAAAACTACTAAACCCAAACTCCCACAGCCTTCTCTGGGGCGTGGGGAGGCAGGTGGTGGGGACCTCTGTGTACCTCGTAGAGATGGAGCCTGTTACCATGCTAACAGCTCTATGCTATGTGTGAGATGAAACTTCAGGGACCCCACGGTGACTCCTTTGCTCTCCTTTTGGTGAGAGAGTCAGTAACACTCACACTTCAGAAAGCACAGAGAAGGCCAAAGCAGAAGGTGTCTGTGTCCTAGGCTGAGCTCTGTGGAGCCAGGACAAGGATGAACCCCAGGGTGAAGGTCCCCTCTAACAGAACTGGTAATTGTTGCCCTTGAGGAGGGGCTGCCCACTCTCCTCKTGCTCGCAGGACTCCTCACAGCAGCCAGAGGTGTCACAGCCGCTGTCTTCCTCAGCACTGGAGGGGAGGTTGGTGTAGTCCTTGAAAGAAAAGGAAGAAACACAACACCCCCAGTGTGTTTTGGTCCCTTTGATAGTCTGTGACACTGTTCCCATGTGGGTGCCCCGCTGGGGCTGTGCTCACTCCACACCACCATCCCTTGCTGTGCTCACCCCACACCACCATCCCTTGCTGTGCTCACAGGGCAGGACTGGCAGGCAGGGCAGGCATTTGCTTTTGTGGACAGCTAGTCCTGAGGGAATGCACAGCAAGTCCAGGGGAATGGGGCAGGGTGCTGTGCTGGTATCCCTGCCTGTCACTGAGAAGTTTCTGCCACCAAGCCATGCTTCTTTGTCCAACCCGTAACTTAAACCTTCAGCTGGATGCCTCTCTGCATTTCTCACTGACACTACACTGCTCCCATCAGCTAATGGTAAGGGACATCACAGAGAACTTGGCCAGAAGCTGTGTTCATGTAGGGGAAAGCACATCCTCCCACTTCTCCTCTCCAGAGRTCCTCACCTGCTCCTTATGCACCTCTAGCTCCTTCTGGATGAAGCAGCAGATCTGGTCAAAGGTGGGTCTCCGTGTGGGTTCCAGGCTCCAGCATGCCTGCATGATGCTGTACCTGCAGGGCCAGACAGGGACAGGGTCATTGCACGGTGCTGCTGGAGGGTCTGTAACCCCAGGCTCTTCCCTGCAGCATTCTGTGTGTCAGGGACACAGAACTGAGCAGTCCCTTGTCTTCCTCCATAAAACCCATGGTTTTGCATGTGCAGTGCTCCAGGGAAAGGTAAGCGCAGAAGTGGAGGGGGCAAACTAATTAACAAGGAGTCTCATGCCACCAAGGCTTTAGGCTTACTTTCACTACCCTCCTGTAATGTACTCAGGCTTGGCCTCTCAAAATCATAGAGTCAAAAGCAGCTAACTAAAATAAGAAAAAAACCCACCAAGTTCAGGAATACAGACATATAGTACGAGTGCTCTCATCTTCCTGCCTGTAAACAGGAGATCGTGGATAGAGCATCATAACTGACTGGCCCAGGCCTTGCTTTCCTACAGGAGCAGCAGGGTGGGATCAAGGCAGACAGTTGGGAGCAGCAGGCAGACCTGTGGCTGTGTCCCTGCCTGTTCCCCTGAGGCTGCTCCAGCCACCCCTCCCTGCTGGGTGAATCCCAGCACACCCACTCACATTTCCAAGGGAGCAAAGTCGGGCCTGGCCATCTGGTATCCCTGCTTCACCATGCTGTAGAACTTGCTGTTCACCACCATGCCGGGATATGGGCTCTTCCCTGTGACAAAAACAGGAGCAGGGGTGATCTCAGAGCAGAGTGTGCAGCACTCCAGCCTTGAGGGGTGGGGAGAGGAGCATTGCCTGAGCTGGTGCTACCCAGGGAGCTCTGAATTACAGAAAATGATGCAGGATTCTTTGTTTTGAATAGTCCCTCTGGAAACAACACAGTGTTTTACAGCCCTGATAAACCCAGATTTTTGTCAACCTTCCTCCTTCCTTGGAAATTTTTCTGCAGAGACATTAGGGCAGCAGTCAGCTATGGAAAACAAGAGGTATGCAAGCTTGTTTCTTTCTTACCRAGGGAGAAGATCTCCCAGAGCAGGATGCCGTAAGACCACACATCACTCTGCACGGTGTAAATGCAGTCGAAGATGCTCTCTGGGGCCATCCATTTCACGGGCAGGCGGGCCTGGAAGAGCAGAGAGTCCTGCAGACTGGCACACGCGGGCAGCTTACGCTACACCCTGTCTGTCCTTCATGCTCCAGCCCTCCCCAATCCTTTTACCTCCTCTTGTGCCCTTTTTAATTACTTACATTGCCTTTCACAACATAATTGGAGTCRTTCATGATGTCCCGGGCCAGGCCRAAGTCRCAGATCTTGGCYACCCGTCCGTCTGATATGAGCACGTTCCTGGCTGCTAAGTCACGGTGGATACACTGGGGAGAAGAGAGTGCAACTGAGACCCAGCTACTGCTCCCCAGCAGTCCCAAATAATTCCCCACAGCTCAGGCCTGCCACAAAACAACCCTGGAAGGGGCAAGGGAAAGGCACTGCTTGAAGAGCCCCTGCCTGAGGCACCGTGCCACACGCCAATTGTGCTCTCTTTCAAGCACTTCATTTACAATGCCAAGACACAGTGACATTTCATGCCTTGTCCTTTAATCACTCACAGGGCCATCATCTTCCCCACAGGAGGAGGCTCAGAATGTGGGGGCTGTTGACATTGTGTCCTCATCTCTGAAACAGTCCCAGGGTGACTCTGACACTCGGAGCCAGCTCTGGCAGACAGCTCAACAATCGCTTTCAGTTCCTTGTCCCTGGGTAGCAGGGACACTGCCAAAGCGAGAAAGCTTCACAACAAAGTTCCTGACCTCGTGTAAGAGTGGGGGAGAAAATGTTGAGACCAGCATGATGCAGAGCCCTGGGTGCCCCCTCTGACTGCCCTGCCGTGGTGGCCATGGGAGACAAAGGCTCTGGAGGGAACACTGAACCCAACAGACACAACAGAAAGGCCCATTTCCAGCAGCAGCTTGCTTGAACTTGGCTACCCCACCCAAAGACATCCCAAGCTGTGTGCAGCCAGGATGGATGGCTCCTGCTGGGCTGGACTGGTGTTTCCCACTTGGGGTGCTGGGGGCAGTGGTCCTCTTGGCACTCACGTTCTTTGATGCGAGGAATGCCATGCCCTGAGCCACCTGGCTGGAGAACTGTAGCAGGTCAGACAGATTGAGGGGACGCAGATCCTCCCTGGCTTCATCTTCTTCCTCCGAGCTTCTCCCTGAAATCCAARACAGAGATTTAGACTTGCTGCAAGAGTGGCAAGTRACACAAACTGTGGCRTGTTGTGGTTCCCAGAGCTAAACCRGACAGGATGGSCAAAAGAAAGAAATCAYGAAATCACARAAATGAGCCTTTGACTCACCCCTGACTTGTGCAGAATCTGATGCTGATGAAGAYGATGATGATGACACAGGCCTCATTTCAACATATGTTTCCAAACCCTGGCTTGAAAAGCCGCTGTCGCTGAGTGAGAAGCAGCAGAGAGGGGGGCAGGCTGTTAGAACCCTCCAGCAGTGCCTTCTGCCCTGCTCCAGACCCACTGAGAGGAGAAACCCATCCCCACCTGCAGAGGGTGACTTAGCCAGGAGCTTGAGGAAAAAGGCAAAGGTAATGTTGAAGCTGATTCAGAAAAGGGAACCTGGGCCCCTGTGTTGTGGGGCTCCAAGTGCTGCTCCCCTTTTGTTCAACTCTTGGCTGATGGGGAGCAGTCAGCTTCATCCTACAAAACCCATGTGCCCAACAGTGCAGGAAGCCAAGAAATTTTGGTTCTGAATAGCAGGAGGACAGACTGGACTGAAACCTGGATTTACTGTGGGATATTCAGTGACTGCTGTCAGTGTCTTTGAAAAGCTCAGAATTATAAGCAGGTCTAAACACATGCAACACCCCAGAGGCTTTTACATGCTGGCATCCTGCCAGCCCCCAGACCTTTGACCTTGATCTGTCCCCAGCACAGTGCTCTGCACACTTTTCCCAAAGGGTACCCAGGCCCTGCACTGCTCAGCCCTGCAGCCACCTGAGCTCTGCTCCTACCTGCGGATGTATTTTTTCTCYAGGTCAATGTTTTTGTAATCAGCAGTGCTGTCTAGAGAGGTGTCCAGGGCAGAATCCTGGATAATGATGGATTCAGCCTTCTTGCGCAGGAAATTCAGCAGATCTCCATAGCGACAGTACTCGGTGATGACAAGGATTGGGCCTGGGAGAGCAGCAGAAAGGGCTCATTAAGGGATGATGCTGCTGTGACCTGTCCTGAGGATTGCTGCTGTGACCTGTCCTGAGGATTGCTTCCCTGGGAGCAGCAGAATCCACACAGCTCATCAGCACAGGCTGCCTCCTAGGAGGATCCATGGCAGGGGGCTGGGGGGAAGAGAGCAGGGGGTCCTACCTCCACAGGTACACGCTCCCAGCAGGTTRACAATGTTCTCGTGGTGTCCCAAGTGACTCATGATCTTCAGCTCAGACATGAGAGCCTCCTGCTCGTCTGTGTCGGCAGATGCTGTGAGGTGAGAGAAGCACTGTGTGAAGGAGTGAGGGAGGGACAAGGAGGAGGTTAAGGGGGAGGACAGACAAAGGTGTTGACAGAGTTATGGAACAAAAGGAGGAGGCACAGAGTGRAAACTGTGTCCTCTAACTGTGCCTGTGGCCTCCCTTATCCACAAAAATGACGGTAGTGGGATTCCAGCACCTGGTACTTGGCACAGAAACAACTTTAAAAAGTATATGCTGCAGCCTGGAAGCACCGACATGTGGTGAACACACACTGCATCCTGCCCAGAGGAGCTCAGCCTGTGCAAATTGCTCTGTGCTTACACTTTAGCATCTTCACAGCCACTTTGAGCACCGAATCTTCTTTGCCCAGCCCAAAAGCTGTGGCTTCTACCACTTTTCCAAAGGCTCCTGCTCCAAGAGTTTTTCCTGCAGAGAGGAAAAAAAGGTACTTGTGAGACATTTTGCAAAAAAAGATTGAGCAGCTGTCCTGCACGAAGCTTTGAGGGAAATGTCTGGTGGATGGGGATTCCTGCTGGGCTCACACAGGAGGACACATCCCTYAGTCAGGAGCTGGCAAACATCTGTGGGGAGCTCTACTGTGAGCAAAGATGGTGTGAAAGAGGCCATTCCAACCATGGCCTCACCAGCTCTGTGCCTTAGAAACAACCCCAGGTGCCAGAGGAAGGACATGACCCCTGTAGCCTCCCTTGGAGCAAAGGAGGAGGGAGGGAGATTACACCCTGCTGTTTGCTATCCTGTGTGCAAGAGGGCAGCCAGGCCTGGGTAAGGACTCTGCTGCAATGGCTGGATGCAGCTTTGGAGATTGCCCAGAGCTTTGGCTCTGATCCTTGGAGCATTTCAGCTCTGTGATGAGCTTCATGCCASCAGGCAAGCAGCAGGGAAGGTTTCTTACCAAACTGGAGGTTATTCCTGGGAAACTCCCATTTCTCATTGTATGGCAGCTGAGTGGGGTCRATGAAGATGTAATTATTCCCTTCACAGGCCTCAATGATCTTCCACCGCACCTGGTACTTGGGTTTCTGTCAGGAAGAGACTCCAGTTATTCAGTGTTCCCCAAGCTGGGAGGGTTCCCCAGCCCCAGCATCCACTCAAGCTCACTCTGCAGGAGGGAAAATACAGATTTCAGTGCATCAAATATCTTCTGAATCTGGACTGAGTGAGAGAGGGTTTTTCTGGGCAGCCTGGTCTCTTTGCTGTTACAAAGTCCCCCCAAGTCACTATCTATGACTGAGGGAGGCTCTCTTGCCMCTGGAAGCAGCCCATTGCCATCATTTGGGATGGCAAAGCTGGGACATCCAGCACATTCCAGCAGAACAGTGGCTGACAGTGACCAGCTGGTGCTGCAGGGAGATGTCCCCACTGTGTCTCCTTCCTTGGTCCCCTGGCTGCTGAGCACAGCAGAACAGTGGAGCYGGCCCAGCCCCACTTCCCTTACAGAAAAATAAAAAAGGAGAAAGAGAAGTAAGAATTTCTCTTTTCCAAGAAAGTCATGGCAGAAGTAACCAGGCAAGGCAGAGAAGCAGTGCAGGAGTTCTTCTGCATGGAAGGTTGGTACTTGTCTGAGATAGGTAACCAAGGAATTTATGGCCATGTCCAGCTTCTCCTGGGCCTGCCAGCCTTTCCAAAAAGCTGTTTTTTTTTCACATATGTGCTAACACATTGATTCATCTTTCTCTCCCTCTGTCCATGGACCTCTGGCCACAGGCAGCTCTGCCTGCTGAGCTGAGCCTGTCTGAAAGAGGGCTCTGATGGATCTTCTGACAAGTAGCACCAGAACTTTGCTGCAAAATTTCAGCCTTGATAGGCTGTCAAAGGAAGGGTGCCAAAAGGAAGAGATGARAACCAGGAGATTTTCACCCACTGATGAAGCAGAGGTGGCTACTGGTTGGTTCCATTTATGGAAACAACAGAGAAAGAATTCACATTCTGGAAATGAGCCTTGCAGAGAAAATGGGGCAAGTTCTTATATAAAAATAGTGACCAAGTCTTCCTGGAGACAAACTTCTRACATCATCCTGTTCCCCCATAAAAACAGCYTTTTATAAAGMGGTGAGGAAAATAAAAYRTAGATGCAAACTGCAAACCRCCGTTTTTTTCCTCCCTTAATTCARTCTGTGRATTATTGGGGACCAGAGCAAAACCAGCTGCAGCTGACAGCACAATGAGCACCTTTATAGGACACCAAACAATGACCACACTGACCTCTGGGCTACAAGACCCAGGGGCCAGGGCAGGAGAGGTATTAATACGCTGGGTGTGGTGCATGAGTTTTGCAGCAGAAAAATCCTGGGGGAAGCTGGGAGGCAGTGGAGGTGAAGGAGGCAGCTTCCCTGGTACCCCTGAGCTGAATGGTCCCTGCCCATGTGGCCAGTGAGGCTGGGCAGCCCTTGCAGCCCTTGCCCTGCAGCAGGGAATCTGACCTGGTTGTACTTGTAGAGCAGSARGAGSAGCAGCAGGAGCAGCAGCACCAGGGCGCCTATGCAGGTGGAGAGAACAGGGCTGAAGAGCTTGTTTGGAAGGGCCACGACACTCCCTGGAGGAGGAAAAAAAGGAGAATGAGTAAACACTCTCATTTCAATCCCAACTCTGGCAGCATTTTGCCCAGCTCTTCCCTTCAGCTTCCCCTGTATGCAAAACACCCCAGGTCAGAGAGACCCCTTTGGGAGCTGCTGGGAACTGAGAGAACTTTTGATGCCAAACTCAAGGCTGCAAGGGTTCCCCTCATGCACCCCAATTTCCACACAAACAGCACCAGGTACAGGGCAGATTGACTGGGGATCAGCAAGAACAATCCCACCAAAAGATGCAGCCCCCAAATTTTGGTGGGCTGAGAAACTGCCTTGGAGCTGAGTCCTGCAGTTATAAGATGTTCAAGGTGTGGTTCAGCCTTTGGCTCTAGGCTATAACCCAGGCAGAAATTTCCACAAATATGGCAAACACCAAAACCTCACACTTGTGAGGATAAAGGGTTTATGGGATCTGTTCCTGCTCTCTCGCWAGACAGTGGGGTTATACAGATAGAACAACATCTCAAAGCCCCCAGATTCTCCMCCCAGATTCCCCCCACCCTGCCAAGCTGACAGTTTGGGTCTTACTGGTGATGGTGAGAGAGTGAAGCATGTCTGAGGCGTTCCCTTCTCCGTTAATGGCCACGCAGCAGAAGGTGAAATTGTCACTGAGCTCCTGGAAGAGGATGCTGCTCTCCACCTCCACCTCTTGGAAGGGCAACATGTTCACCACCTGTGGTCTGGAGTCATTCCGTATCAGTCTGTAGTCCTCACTGTACCTGCAGGGATGGCAATGGGACACAATGAGTGCTCCTCTGCAGCACAGCAGCTCACTGCTGGGTGGTTGCCTGTGTCAGACTGGAGAGGAGATGCAGGGAGTTAGGGTTGCAGCTCTGTGGGATGTGTCACTCTCTGCCCAGTTAAAGACCCTGAACACCATAGCCTTTATGTGGTCCAGCAGTGCTCTGCCATCAGTCCTTTCAGAGGGGCTGGTACTGAGACACAACAGCCCAGTCCAGGAAGCTGCAGCTCCTTCCCATGATGCTGTAGCTCAGTAAACGTGTTCAGCAGAGCCTCAGACCCGTGGAGGTCCCAGAAAGATGACTGGGCCAGCCAGGATGTACCTCAACCACAGCACACAGCAGGGCACTTCTCCAAGGGATCCACATGTTCCTTGGAAAAGCATGGGCTGAACATGAATCACTGGTGGACAATCTCTTCAAGCTCAGGAGTTTAGGAATAGCAAGTGCTCCCTCATCTCAGGCAGACCCCAAGAACCTCATTTTTCAGCAGAGCAACATCCCTGTTGCTGTCCCTGGACAGCTCTCCTGTACTGGATGCCCAGGAACCCATGTGGAGCTGCTCAGTGAATGCCAGCCTGACAGGGGCACACTTTGGAGGTGCTCAGTCCCCCGGGCAGTTCTCACCTGTCYGAGTGAACGGGGCACTGGTACCACTCAATGCGTGGGGCAGGGTACCCGATGGCCGTGCACTGGAGGATGCTGGAGTCATTGGCTGGCACCTTGATTTTGCAGACCCTTGGAGAAGCTGTTGGGGAAGTCACACAAAGAGTGAATGCTGTCACCAGAGGAAGAGCACATCCCCCATGCTCTGGTTTACTGTTCGTGCATGCAACAACAAACCACAAGGAACCCTGTGCTACACAAGGCAGGTTTGGGCCGGGTCTGTGTGTCCTCTGCAAGCAGACTCGTACCCCAACCATTATTTTCCAGCTGGGAAGCAGCCCCAGGGGCAAGCAGGGTGAAAGAATGGGCAAGCACTTACATTTCAGAGAGATGCTGAAGGTAACTGATCCATTGGTSGCATTGTTGAGGGCATGGAAGGTGTAGAAGCCTCCCTCTCCTTCCTGCAGGCGGTTCAGGAGCAGCGTGGCGTTGTACCTGCTCACAGAGAAACACAGTGAGGAGCACACACGCCTTGCTCAGTGAGATGCTGCTGCTCCTGTGCTCTGCAGCAGGGAACAATTCCAGCACCAATCCCAGCCCATCAGGAGCCTGCTAGCTGCATCTTTGGGAGAAGCAGGGACAGATCATCCTTAGGGGAAATTCCTTTTGCCACCAAGTGCACTTCAACACTTCTGAAAGGCTACAGGTGGGTGGATGCTTAGAAATAATTTAACATCTAAATCACTGCCTTTCAAGGGTCAGGTGATGCTGGTCCTCCTGGCTTTGGCAGAATGAGTTACTCCATCAAATCATAATCCCTAGTTCCCACTCTGTCTGCCTCCAGCCCATTTCTTAGCCCCCAGTGCAAGAAAAGAGTTTGCACTAAAGCCATCATTGTTGCTAAGTGGCACGGTTCCTCCTGTGGATTATTTTTAGGTTCCTAAGAAAATGTAAGGGGAATTGCCAAAACACCCCAACAAATGGAATGATTTTCTTTCAGAATCTTGATCACAGCTGGCTGTTTGGAAGAGCAGATTYGTGCCCTCCATTAGAGCATATTCACAGAACAATGTTTGTGGCTTCTCTTGCACCACAAGTGGCTCTCAGTGCACACTCTCCCAACCTCAGAGCACGGGACAGGTCCAAGGAGCAGTGAGGGAATTCAGTTTTTTACTGCTCATCCCCCCATGCAATTTTTTCCAGCAAGGGAAGTGCAGATTGAACAATCAGATCACAAATGTGATACGACTTCCACAGGGCTTTCTAAAGAAAAGGCTGCCAAGGTGGAGAAGGGTGGTGTCCTCCTTGATCTGATCATACTGTGGTTTGCTAATAATACTGGAAAGAGAACACAGAAATGCAGAACAGTTTCCTTTTTTAAAACTAAAGGGTTTTCCGTAGAATGAGGCCTGCCTGTSTCAAGGAAAACTCTCTTGGAAACACGCCATAGATGACAGAGAGCACGTACCAGTTGTTTCCAGAGATCATTTGTCCCTTGAACACGGCAGTCCCAGAGCTCTTCAAGGGGTTCCTGTGTTCCCAGACCCAGTGGAGAAGTTTGGGGTAAGCCTTAATGTGGACCTGCAGCTTCAAACTCTCTCCCAGAGCAACCTCCTGGCTGGTGGCTTGCTCTGGGGTCAGGTACACGTAACCTCTCTCTGCAGGATGGAGGAGAGAATGACCATCAGCAGGCATGTCCACAGATCTGGAATAAGTTTATACTTATTATAGCTTCATAATATGCTTCATAAATGGATCAGTATTGGAAAGAGCAGCCTCAGCTGGGAGGCTGCAGGAGGGAATGAAACATTACACAGGTTATGTTGCCAAAGGAGTACTTTTATTTTTATTTCTTTTTTCATGGCACCTTGGATTACCCTGCCTGAGAAGAGCTAAAAAATCTTAATGAAGTCTCACGGAGATTGAAGTTTTACATGCTGTGTCTTAGGCAGTGATGAGGCTAAAACTTTATMTCCTAATTGTTCATAAAAGACAGACCCTTTAGCTAAAATCCTGGCTTCTTGCTTGGAAATAACTCAGACTGAGCCCTATTTCTGAGCWGTGGTGTGCAGCAGCTTTGSATCATCAGCAAACTCCAGTCTKTGRGGATGAATTTTCCATCTTGGGATACAAAGTGAATAATAGACCTGAAACCCCTTATGTGGATCTTTGACTGGAAGAGACAAAGATCTATACTCTGCTCAGGTTTGCCCTTCCTTCTAACCAGCCTTTCCTGGTCTTCAGCATAACTTTGCCCCATTCCCTTCTTATTGTTTCAAAGCTGCTTATAAATGCACAGGAACTGAGAAGAGCACTCCAGTTTTTGATCCAGAACCCAGAACATGTCCTCTGTCCCCTCAAGACATGAAGGGAACACGGTTCTTTTCCTAACAGCCCCACAGTTCTCATGTGAGCCTTCAGGCACAAGTGAGAATTATGTTTTCAACTCCAAATCTAGGAGGAGAATGGAGGCAGAAGCAGTAACTACTCAAGKCTAGGTCTGATTCAGTCTTCCTGGTCTTTTGGGGAAGGACTCACCTACTACCTGAAGCATTGCTGAGGCATTCCTGATTCCTACTGAATTGTTGGCTATACAGACATACTTCCCACTGTCTTCCATGGTCACGGCTGGGATGGACAGGSTGTCATTGATGAAGTAGTTATCATTTTCAAAGTCAAGCTTTCTAGTTCTCGTGACCTGTCAGGCAGAGAGGGAACAGCACAGGTAGGAAGGGCAGAGGGTGGAACTGAACCTTTAAGAGATGCAAACACACCTCTCCTGCTCTGGGCTAGAGAGCTCGTCACTGAGAGCAACCTGTGAGACATGTCAAACCCAAATATCCAGGGCAGATATTGCACAGCAGTTAATTGATAGCTATTTTCAGCCTTCTRGCTCCAGCTCAGCCTTACCCTCTGTGACCCAAACACACCTTGTGTGTTGCTTCAACTCCTCAATAAAGGCATCAGTTATAATAAGGACTTATAGCAAACTGCATCCAACCATCCAGCAGCTGTTAAAACTCAGCATCACAGAGATTTTGAAATCTATTCCTTTTCTTCACACATATATTTTCTCTGGAGAGCTCTATCCTGAACATGTTTGCTGCTTTATAAGCCCGGGCAGGGCTTGGTGAAGAATTGCTTTAATAGGTACTGTGGCTCCTGTCCAATRACCTCAGCTGAAACAATACACTCTCCTCTCTTGCAGCAAGACTCTGACAGTAGGCAGGTGTTTTGTAATCCTGTGTCATCCCAAAGAAAGAATTCTCAAATTTCTACAGCTTGAATAGCTGCTTTGGTTGGGTAGCTCAAGGCTTTGATGTGGGTGACATGGCTCTGGGCAGTTGTCACCACCTTGTGTCCCCGAGTTTCCAGGAAAGCCCCACACCCCAACTTACTGTATTTGCTGCTGTCACCCATCTGATGTCGTACTTGTGGGAAGGAGCAACCACTCTGCAGGTGACTTGGAAAGGCTCGCCCACGATTCGCACGTGGTCCAGAGGGTCCATCATCACTGACACCGATTTCTCCAGAGCTGCACAAAGGCAAGCAGGGAAAGATTCAGTGTCAGCTGGCCAGTGACTCCATGAGCTTTGGAGAGTCCCCAGCAGCTGGCTGCCTTGGGTGCTGAGGCACTGGCCCAGGTTGCCCAGAGATGTTGTGGAAGCCCCATCCTGGGAGTGCCCAAGGCCAGGTTAGATCGAGCCCTGAGCTACCTGATCTGGCAGGGAGCGTCCCTGCCCATGGCAATGAGTTTGGAACTCCCTGATTTTGAAGGTCTCTTTCCACCCAAATGAGTTTGATTCTATTCATGATTCTACCTTCTCTTTTCTATCCTCTTTATCTCTTTACCACCGACCTTCACCTTCCCTAGTGATCATCACTCCCTTTTGGGCAAGTGTCAGTGGGAAGCAATACAGGTGGGGAAAACACAGCGGTCAGCACTGTGGGTTCAAAGGGAAGGGGAAGCTTCTGCCGTGGTTACAGATGGAGTATCATGGCCTGAGGACTTGCAGAACACTGGAAAGACTAGTGGGTATTTTTCTCTGGTCTGTGACAATGCCTGCAAAGATTTGAAGACTGCTGAACTCATGGAAAACCATCTGAAGGAACCAATTTGCCAGAGGCTGGTGGAATTCAGCTTCCATTAAAAACCCTCTAGAAACTGCAGGTTCAGAAATTCTTTTTCACAAGGAGCTTTTCCTTAACTATCTACTGTGGCCAGCTTAGCTATTGGACAGCAAGAACCCCAGTTCTTTACCTTCTTCCATAAGCAGTCTTATTCTTGGTGARTTCTCTGTTCTTCCATTTATCTGCGCTTGGCATCGGTAAGAGCCTTTGTGCTTGCTTTGCACATTGTACAGAGTTATTCCTTTCTCAGCACTGAAGGAGTAGTTGGTCCCAGGTGGGAGAGGAGAGGCACCATCCATGACCAGAGTCACGTTGGATCCGTACTCGGGGGCTGTGATGAGACAGGGCAGATCCACATTCCCTCCTTTGGTTGCCCTGATCCGGAAGACCGGGATATACCAGACATTGTCAGGATCTGCAGAGGGAACGAGATGGGCTTGAGAATGGGATCAGAAAATGCACTGAGGCTGAGAAATGCATTCCAGCAAGGGCAAGTGTCCAGCACTGCTGCCCAGTGGGAGTTCGATGCTGGGGCAGCCCTGCTCAGCCCCTGCCTGACTCAGCCTCCAAACACTCACATGACAAACCCAGCTCCAGCTAAGACATCCGAGGGTGTCACAGCAACCAGCTCACCAATATCCATGGATAAGAGGTGCTGAGACGTATGCACAGCTTACTTTTTACTGTGGTGCTAGTTTTGCTTATCAGACTTCCAGCTTCCCTGCTCAGGGCAGCACCTCTGGYACAAGGCAAGGGGTGAAGTCAAGTGGTAGAGCTACCACAGCACAGCTTCTTCTGGGAYAAAAGAATATTTGGGGTTCAGGACRTGTTGTGAGGATGTAATTCATGTGMYTCCCTCCCTTATCTGAGGTMCTGGCAGTATGATTTTCTRATTTGAAAATGTCRCTGCTCRTTACAACACTGAACAGACATACAGGTCTGGTTTTTCAGGAAGGGAAGGTACAATGGRAGGAGGGAGAGATCCAGGAGATCCACATATGCATAAGATGCAGCTCTGGACTTTCCCCCAGTGCTTCAGTCAATTTAATGTGGATTTACATGGCTGTGGGTGAGCCACTGCCCCACCAGGAGCGTGCACTGCTCCCCAAGCACACACACAAGCACAGCACAGTGGGAAGGACCTGTGCAGCCCTGGGAGGAGGCTGCAGTGCCAGGGGTGTGGGGACAGGAAAGCAGGGTCACCTCTCACAAACAGGTGGATGGCTGCAACGCCCTGGTCACTGCTGTTGACGTGAGCACAGCTGTAGGTGCCCGTGTTCCTGTAAGTGGCCTTAGGAATACTCAGAGTGCTGGTGSTGTGGTTACTGAACGAGTTCTTTTTGCTGTCCCACGCAACTTCAGACTCTCCTGAGCAGTGCAAGATGACTGGATCACCCGTGTTGACAACCAGGGCAGGGAGATCAGGGCTGATCACGGGAGATGCTGAGCCTGCAAGGGAAAGAGAGAGAATGCAAAAATGATCCCTGAAGATGCTCTGTTGGAGTTCACACTGCTGAGCACGGAGTTCAGCATCAGGAAAAGGCTGAGCTTGGGGTTCAGACTGGCTTTTTGGCTTACATCACTCCTCCCATTCTCTGTCCCACCAGACCCATATGGCCTGATACTAAAATGAAYGAATTTCAGCAAAGAAACACCACCCCCCACCCTTCCCCCTTCCCYGCTGTTTGAACATTCAGAGCACTGGGACAGGAAAAACAATCATCTGGAGCTGATTAGGGCAAATGCCAGCTTGGAAATTGTTCCTGCTGATTTTTGCCTCTTCTTACAATAGTTTTCCTTTTGTGGCAGAGCTGGAGCTGCTCTATGGACTGGATCAGCCCACAGCACCGTCTGGTGGAGTTTAAGTCCAGTTTGGGGTTCTCTGTTTCATTGGTGCTGTGATGAGCTAGAACAGACCTGAACAGCTCCTGCAGAGCAGGAGGCCAGTGCAGATCCTTTGGGAGCACTGGCTTTTTGTTACCAAACACTGGATTTTGAAGGACACCTCCTCATGGAGTCACACACTGCATTCTCCTCACAGACAACAACAAAACATTATGAAGTGAGTCAGCATTATAAGTCCAATTTGGGAGAGGAAATTGAGGCCTGGAAATGTTAAACAGCTGATGGAAGCCCACTGCTATTGTTCTGTGGACACCAGCATCACAACCAGCCAGGCTCTGATGCATCTCTGCTTTGAAGATGCCTTCTCTGCTGGCTCAATAAAGGGGAACCAGGGTCCTACTCCAGCCTTACTGTCAGAGGGAAATATTTTTTTCCCCTGTTTTGCCTTGTCAGCGAGTTCTTTGAATCASCACCTATATTTAGGGTGGGGGGAAGTGCAGAATGAATCAGTGCTGTGGGGCTGGGGCAGAAGTGGTCCAGGCACCCGACAGCAGGCTCCAGGCTCTGAGTGAGGACAGGAAACACATTGCAAATGGCTATCTGTGCTCGGGGGGCTCTGCACCCCCCTCCAGACCCTATCCAGGGCTATTCGCCCACTTCTGCTTTCCTTCCCAGTTGCTAACTCCTCTGCACAGCTTAAAGGGACACACACCCTCATTCAAATGATCCTAAGCATAAAGGGAGCTGTGCAATTTATCAATTTACTGCTCTTTGCAGGCAGTGATCCTCCTGCCACGGGCACTGTCCCTGTAGCAGCCAGCAGAGGCACAGCCCCATCCTCATCCTGCCCTGATCATGGCTCTTTTGAGGAGGAAGGTGATGACCAAGGTACAAATGTGTGTCCTGTGCCATCCAGAGCCCACACATCAGAGCCCAAAGAGCAGCATTTAAGCTGTCTTGGGTTATTGCCTCACTCCATGCCACAAAGGGTTGAGAATATGACACTCAAGACCCTGGAGGGTGCTGCTGGTGTGTGACAATGACACAGTTGCCATGGGGAAACTCAGACAAGGCCCAGATCAAACTCACTGGCCTATGGGGAGAAGCAGGGGACAAGGATCTTTGGAGCATGGAATATTTGACGTTTTATCTCCCTGCTTTTTTTTTTTTTTTTTTTTTTTTCCTTTTTTTTTTTTTTTTTTTTTTTTTTTTTCTGTGGAAAGAGGAGAAGCCTCATTTATTCCCAGAGTGGAGAAAAACACATCCCAGAATCATTTACAAAGCTACATTTTCCACATATCTGAGGCAAAACATTCCTTCCTTTTTGCTAAGCTCTGCTTTCTAGTGGGGCTTGGTATTTCTGTTGCTTTAACTCTTTGTCACTGGATCCTTTTCCCTCACTCA